TAACGAGCTGAACACGAGTTGTTCACGAACAACGAGCCAAATTGACAGCCCTACTTAGCATAGATAATACCAGTATATTCGCTCCATAAAATTAAAAAGTCAGAATAATATTGTTCAATTGAAAGATTACCTTGACTATAATTACTCATGTCAAGTTCCAATTGGAAGCGTTTCGCAAAATTATCTTGATTATAAACGCGCTTCAAGTATTCACACATTTCTATAGCCGTGTCAAAAGATCGTAAATTGTTCAACATATGAGTCTCAATAGATCCCAAAATCCAGGAAACAAATCGAGCATCATTTGCTTCCCATTGACCAAGAACTTTTGCCTCAGTAAGAGCTGGGGAAGATCCATCAATATGGTCTCAAAGCTCCTTTCCTTTTAAGAAAATTCTGAGTTGAAATTTTCATGCGACATAATTCTTTTCCGTAAATCTGATAGCTAAAATTTCAAAAGACATTCTAAATAGATTGATTGTCGATCGAAATCAACTAAAAAACAAGAAAAACAAGATAAATAAAATTCATATCGTTGATCAAAATCAACGTGAAAGGCTAGGGTTGAAGATCGAAGAGCGAGGAGAAGCTTGAAGAAGTCGCGATCGTGACGATCTTACGGAGTGGATCACGACAGCAGAACTCGAACGAGCGAATTGTAGCGGCAGAACTCAACGTCAAAAAATTTTTGTAATTGGGCAGAACTCAGCAGAGGCCCGCTCAATGATGAAGAAGGATCGTAGCGGCATAACTCAGGAAGATGCCGCACCAAAGGTTCGCTCAAGAAGATGTCGCAGAACGCAGCTGCAGAACTAAGGAGACGCCGCACCATAGGTCCGATCGAAGGGATTCGATCAGCTTGAAGCAGCGACATAACTCAAACAAAGCGGACGAAGATGCCGCGGAACTGAAAGACAAGAACGAGCGCTCCGGTGATGAAGCAGTCGAAGATGTCGGCCAAAGATAACAAAAAACTAAAATTTCAAGGATTCATACCGATTAAAGCTCTAATACCATGTCAATATTTTGAGCAAATAGGCTGAACATCCTTTCCTTTGCTTTCATTCCAATAAATAATAATTTGTACAATCTATTTTAGGTACATAATCATAATATTCAGTATAATATTCAGTATAATCTAAATTAAGTAGCTTAATTAATACATATTTCTAATCTAAATATTCAATTAAAAGGGAAGAATCCGAGCAAATATAATATTTCCTTCTTTGCAGCATTGCGAAGAATAAAACCCTTTATTCTGTCTGATTTTATTTATTCCTGATTGATAAAATGGAGCTCAGATTGAAACTAGCGTGACAATCATGTTCAAATAGAGATTGGATTGTGTCCAACTAAATCAACTTTTTGATCTAGATTGAGATCAGATCTAATGAGTTTGATATAAACGAGACATATTTTTATTGGGAGCAGTTTGGATCACTAAAAATTGTAAATTCATTTCATGGAAAGTGATGTGGTTGTTTGGTAATTAGTAGGATTTAGCCAAAAGGGGATGATAGGTCTAAGGTGGGTGATAAACATATCATCACCCACGCATAGCGAAAATGTGGTTTCCAATCTGAAACCCACGACTTTCCATGGCATAAAGTTATGTTGTGAATGAAATTAGGTTGTACAAGGGCACCCAGGAAACATATTTCTATGAGGGGAGTCATATCTGAACAAAGCTAAGGCCTTTTTTGGTTATTAATAGAGGGTTTCAACTCTGGAAGCTTGGTATCAAGCAGATAATGTGATCACACTATGGGGAATGGCCATAAAAAACCAGACACAGATGAGCGATAATATAAACTTCATTTGTAGTTTATGGTAAATCTGAAGGCTGATGTATTCTGCGAGGATGATTATATTAAAATCCGAAACAATCTAACATCTTTTTTTTCGTGCAAAGCACAAGATTCTTAATGAGGGGCAAACACCATGCTGACAAACTCGATCAGAATTGGCATTTTATGGTAAAATTAGAAGTAAAAGACGGCTTTAACTCCAATAAATGAGGGAAAACATACGATTAAACATGAGAAAATAATGCAACTATGTTTCTATTGTGTAAATTATAAAAAGCCCTGAAGTTTGAACCGTTGGTAGTTCATGATGGAAAGGATTAAGAATTCTGATAACCCGAAAAATCAAGATATCATGCCGTTCTAGATTCCATTCAATCATCTAACAACATTTAGGAACAATTAAATAAAAAAAAAAACTCAGAAGGGACTACCTGCTCAGAAGGGACTACCTGACGCGACGCGATTTGATGCTAGTATTAACCGGAGAAATGACGGCAGTCGAAGCAAAGAAACCACCGGGGAAAAGGAAAGCGAAGACACAACCGCATAAGATCCCGATTACGATAGCAACTGCAATCCGAGATCCGGTTCCGCCGCCGCCGCCGCTCTTCATCAGCGGGCCATCCCTACGACCGGCCATCGTTTTAACCGCTTCTTCTCCGGCACTAGATGTGTAAGAACAAGTAAGAAAAATTCACTCCGTCGCCATTTGTTTCACGAATTCCTCTTCACCTGCACACGCCACCGATCCCGTCGACGGCTTTCCCCGGCGACCTCCCTCGAAACTTCCTCGCCTCCTCTTTGTCGTCGATGGTTCCGCTAAGTTGGGTAGGTAGAAGACGAGGATTTAGGGAATTCAGGAAGGGATCAGAAGTGAGAGTTGATTCCGGATTTGCGTGATTTATCAAATCGTCCTTGTAGGCGCAGCACCGAAGTCAAGCAAGAGGTTGAGCGAAGAAATGGAGAGTTCTCGTCCGTCGTGACAAAAACAAAATGCAAAAAAAAAATTAAAAAGCTAGACAGTATGTAAATGGTAAGATTTTGAGGGAGTTATGTGCATGAATCTCCATTAAACAATAAATTTTAAAAATTAAAAAAAATTAAAAAATTGCTGCTGAATTTGAATTTCATTTTTTTTTTCTTTTAAATCGGTGCAGGTTGAATTTCTCTTCTCGCTCAATATTAAAATGATTATATAATAGCACTCCTCTCTGTTGGTGTGCACGACTCTATCGGCGATTTATTTACTTATGTTAGCCTTGTATTTTATATATGTTAGTATGTATGTATGTATGTATATATATATGTATATACATATATTTTCATGCATGCATGCATATATATATATATATATACATGCCTACATACATTTTTTTTTAATTCATGCCTACATATATACATACATACAAATACATATATTTAATGAAGATTTTGAGTCTTAAAGGTGGTAGCTTGGGAGCGAATATTATGTGTGTCGCCGATAATATTTTGGTGATATTGCATTTAAATACACTCTACTATCACTTTAATACTACAAATATCACTATAATATCATGCCAATATCATCGATCCCTCCTAATTCACACTTAGTTTGCCCGCCTATAATATATTTTTTTTCCAAACTTAGAGATTAGTGCAATTTGATCGTTCAAGCCCAAATTACATAACTGTGGGTTCAATTGCATTCCAATTTATCTTTATTAAATTTGTTTAACTAATTATAATGTATTTAATGAGTTAATAATTTTTTGAAATAAAGTCTAATTTATTCTGCCACCGAATAAAACAAATTCATTGTGATACTAAATGTTTAAATGATTTAAACTTAACAACACTAAAAATAGTCTAATATAAGTCTAAATGGGTTTGAATTAGATACTTGAAGTATAATTGGAAACTTTAAATAACTAATAAATGAATTAAACACTCGCATAATTTGACATGCTTACAATTAAATCGAGTGACTCGACGAAAGTAATCTAATAAGTCTAAGATTATTCAATTTTGATATCGTTATAACACTTAAATTCTAGAAGTATTTTTTATCAACAAAAACCCTACGAAACATTCAATTGAGTGTTTTGGGATTTTTATCAAATTTATCAAAATGTCTCTTTGAAATTTGTATAAATATATCATTCTTTTCAAAATGAATGAAACTAAACTAAGAGGTAAGTTTATACTAGATATTTGTCAGCAAATTTGCAACGATAGAGTAAAGAAATATCATCACTGCGTTGCAGGAAAGCCTAACATACACTCAATCAATTAAAACAGTTGTGGGGGGAGACACATCAATTTTTTTATGCGGAAAACCCTTGAAAGGGGAAAAAACTACACAACCCGGTGAAGTTGAAATAATTCACTATAAATTGTGAGTGCACACATCCACTCTTCTTCGGAACTAGGGAAGAAAGAGTTACAAATTTCATCATTGTAAATGTGCAATAGCAATAAATTGATAGTAGTCGTGGTCTGACTGTAATGAATGCAGTTGTCAATAATAGCAATTTGTCATGGTCGTAGTCGATTGCTATGGAGAAGTAGTCGGCCACAAAAGTTATTGACAGTGATTATAGTGTCAGCTTACCGTATAGGCCTTTGTTGAAAATCATGCTAGTAGTTTGTCGTATGGGCCGCAGATGGTTGATTCATGAATGTTGATTGGTCACAGAGGTTGTGTTAGGAAGGTGCAGGAACTTTGAGTCATAGTTGATCAAGTAGGTTGTAGTGATGAGTTGTGATAATGTCAGTAAGTTACAGATTTTAAGTTAGGAGTTCTACAAGTTGTGGTTCACATAGGTTGTAGTTGATTACATAAATTGTAGTAGAGAGTTATGATAATGTTTGTCGGCCGCAGAGATTGAAGTTGGAAGCTACACGAGTTGTGAATTATATGGACTGTAGTCAGTCGCATGGGTCATAATAGTTAGTTGTGAATACGTTCATAAGCTGTAAGGCCTGGAGTAAAAAATTTCATGGGCAGTGAGCCATGTAGGTTATAACAACTAGTTAAGATTATGTCTGCATGCCTCAAAAGCTGAATTCAGGACCTGCACGAGTTGCGAGCCACATAGGTGATAATTGGTCGCGTAAGGCATATTGAGGTTTTGTGATGACTTGTATAGACTGCAGAGGTTGGAGTCAAAACTTGTCAGAATTATGAACCACAAAGAAAACGACCTCAAATATTAGGATGTTCTCAACAAAATAATAGAGGCGACACACATCGTACTATATAACACACCCCAAGTCTCTTTATGAAAAGATTGTGATGTGGGGGTTAGGAGTTGTTGGAATGACAGTCATCCTTGATACCTGGGAAAAAAAATAGTCTCAAATGTCTGGCAATGTCTTTAATAATGAATTGAGAGATGTTTTTACCAGTCAAGACGACTTTCTTGGATAGCTAATCTTGTATATGTGAGCCAGGTAATTTTTGTGGGGAGTGAATATAATCACTTCAACATGTGAACTCAATTCAACTATTTGAGAGATGTGCAAGATTTTGTCACTTTAAAATGCAGACTCTGCTAAATAAGAGGAGCAAAATTTTTTTCATATACCTGCATTTGTGTTTACTACACAATGATTATCAATGAACAAATCAGGTTTAAAGGATAAAATAATTTAATCTAAAATAAAATTTAAACACATTTTATTTTAAAGTTAAGGATATTTCATCCATCATGCTCAAGATAATACTATATCCAAGAAAAAAAAAGGGAATTTTATTTACATACAACACAATTCTTGTGTATCCACACATCACACCTAAAATTTCAAAATTTACATACATGATATATAAATCTATACATTAAAATGTATATTTTATATTAAAAACATAATAATAATATTTTTAATGCTATGTTAAATAATTAAACATTATGCATACAAATAATATATAGATTTATGATACATATACATATATAATAGCTCAAAATTTTTTTTACCAATACACTAAAATTTATTTATTAATACTTAAAAAATAGCTCTGATCATGCATCAACACTACTCCCGAATTGATAGTTTATTCCAATAATAGGACGTCACGTATCAATCTAACCTCACTAAAATACAATCATACCAGAATATTATATCAGGACTCACAACACAATTTATTCCAATAAAAAGACGTCACCTATCAATCTAACCTCACTAAAATACAATCATACCAGCATGATAAAAAATAATGGAGTCAACTTTACTCATCCCCATTAGTCTTGGAATGCAGCAGTCACGAGAATTTTCCCTCCTCGCATCCCGCCAAACACTTGCCACCGGACTCGCCATTTTGGGCTACAATTGCTCTGTACTTTATGCTCGGAGGCCGTCGGTTGCCGATCCTCCGACCCAAGCCGGAGATCGCTCTTTGGGAGCGACTGAGAATTTTCCGGCGAGCGCTTTTCTCGTGTAAAGAAAATTGGGGAAATCTCAGCTCGCGGAAAGCCCTAGCGATCACCTGAATCTGAAACTCGAGGAAAATGGTGGCGTGCCGTGTCTGAATCTGAACAAGCACGTCATCTATGGCATTCCCGTCGAAGGGCACTTGATCTATGATCTGAAGAATCTCGTCGGCGATCATGTGCGAGAGCATTTTGAAGGGTTCTGTGCATCAGTTGGAATTTCAACGTGAACGAAACATGGGTGAGAGTTGTGAACGGAGATTGAAGAGGTGTTATTTTTGAAATATTAATAAAAATTAGGATATTGTATTGGTAAATATGAGATTTTATTTGAAGGTTATATACGTACACAATTATCTTTAGGAGCTGTTTGAGCATGCAAGTTTGGGGACTTATTTGCATATTGTGCTCAGGAATTTGAAGCTGCTTATCATGAACCCCAAACAGATCCTAGATTTGAAAATCATTTGACATGCTCGTTAGTAATTCTTAATAAATTCTTAGAAATTATTTGACAATTTTAAAAAATTTAACAGAAATTATCAGAATAATAATAAAAAAATAAATAAAAGAAAATATAGATGAGTATCTAATATCTCAAAATGCATAAAAAATGAATTTATATTGATTAATAATTAATTATTTTTTGAATTAATTACCTATTAACTATAATTTAACATTATTATTAAATAAATAAATTAATAATCATTCCAAATTTATTCAAATAATTTAAAGTTAAAAATATATTTTTATTCTTTAATTAACTATTAAATAATTATATTTAAAATTATCTGATTATAATTAATTTAATATTATATAAATTAATGATTAATTATTAATCACTTAAATTATTAAAATGAACTTAAATAAGATAAATTAGAATTACAAATTCATCCCCCTTCTACCACCCCTTCCCACCGTAACCCTCGACTGCTTCCTCCCGCTCCCAAAACCCTCGCTGATGTCCCTCAACCTCCCGGATTCGCTCAAAACAATCGCCTTCGTGAACGAACCTTTGCGACATCTAAAGGATCGCGGTCTACAGAGAGCACCGAAACTCAAAATTTTCCAATCATTCCGCTCCGAGGAGGCGTTTTTGTCGGTTTGGCAGGATTTCGCTTAAATCTTGCTTAAAACCGGCTACTAAACAGCCCCTCATATTTAAGAAAAAGAAAATCACAAAGTTTCCGATTGTCGGGCATTGGGATTGTGGAAGTCCGGGCAAGTTCATTTGCAAATTGCAATTTTACAGTCGATTCAATCCTTGCTTCTCGGCCTCTGCCGGTCACTGTTGCTGCGATGGCGCAGAAGAAGACCCGTCCATCCTCCGATGACCCAGAGGAGCTCACCCGTACCCCTCTCCAGGCTGTCCTGCTAGCCGACAGTTTTGCTCAGAAGTTCCGGCCCATAACCCTCGAGCGTCCCAAGGTTTAACCCTACGACCTGTTCTACGCCCCTCCCCAGAGATTCTTCATATTCTTTGCTTGCGAGCTTCTCTAATAATATTTTCTCCTGAAGGTGCTATTGCCGCTGGTGAACATTCCGATGATCGAGTACACCCTCGCCTGGCTCGAGTCAGTCGGGGTCGAGGAAGTGTTTGTTTTCTGCTGCGCCCACTCTCAGCAGGTGAAAAGCTACCTGGAAAATTCCCAGTGGACGAAGCAGCCTGGCGCTTTCTCCGTAAACACTATCGAATCTCACGACGCCATCAGTGCCGGAGATGCCCTACGTGTCATCTATAGTCACGGAGTTGTGAGTAGCTTATTTTTTCTGAATAATGGTGAATTTTATTTTGATCCGTTTTTTGGTGATTTTGGCTGTTAATCCTTGAAGATTCGTGCTTATTTGTAGAAATGAGTTCTTTGTTATGGAATCCACTTTCATAAATGTGCGAGATAAGTTCAGATTATGAGTATTTTTACATCGCATTTATTGATTTTTTGTTATGATAGTAATAGAAAAACCTAAAGTCAATGGAACATTCTGCATAATTTACTTTAATTATAATAATGAAATTTACATACACACCACTCATTTGAATAAACCCACTTTCAAATACTTACATCTAAATAAAATTTCTTAAATGTTCATTTATAATGCCTTAAAATTGGAGGATTTATAGGAAGACTTGAACAAGGCTTTTAGAAGATAAGCATCATAACATAACCTAGTAAGTAGCAGCAACTTTCACAGAGCGGAGCAAATACCATGCTGCAATGCCAACCAGTTTCCCTTTAACATAAATTGTTTGTTAGTTATTTATTTATATTTAATAAAGGAGAGAGACTGAAAACATTCCAAAAGCTATTCTGTCATGGTTTATTTGCCAAGTTTTTAGTATTCATGATTTTATTAGTTATATTTGAAGATGTCATCCTATTAAAAATTTGCTTTAAATTTCAATGTTGTTTGTGCCACTGATCTAATTTCATTCTTGTTAGTTCCTTGTAGTTAATTAAGTGCATTTTTCACTTTTTAACCAAAATGCTTGGCGTACTTCCCATGGCATAAATGTTTACCATCCATTGCTTTTGGGGCCTTTTGGTTGCAAGGTTTTTGGAAATTCAATATATTTAAAATAAAATTAAAAGTGAAGTCATGCATTTCAATTACTTTGTGGTATTTGGTTGCTTGCAAGAGAAATTTAGAGTTCAATTTTTTGAGTTTGGTTGTTTGTAAAGTAAAATCAATATTTAAAATGTTGCGGCGGTGTGGACGGCAGGTGGCGGCTGATGATGAAAGATTGACGGTGTTGGTTAAGCTTTGCACTAGGGTATATTTGGAATATTCCAAAATTTTCCAAATTTGGGGAATTCCAAATGCTTTAAAAATAAATTAGGTAGAGGTACAAATACCTAAAAAAATTACTTTGTATTTCCTTTTCTTCCAACCAAACACCTAATATTTCAAATCCCTTGCATTTGGCCTACTCTAGACCACTAATACTTGCAACCAATAAACCTTTTATATTTTATATTTTCTAGTATCCTTGTTTTGAGAGGGAGAAGGAGAGGGGAGGGAGGGAGGGAGGGAGAATTATGACTATTGGACCGATAGGTTGTAGCTAATTCAACTATCTTTCTCATATGGTGGTGGTGCAAATGTCCGACTTCTTTCTTCTCTAGTGTTCCTGAATTTGATGCTAGTTTTCAATTTTGTTAATGCATCTTGTGCATTTACTTTATTTTATCAAGCTTCATGTGTGCTTCTATTCTCCTGTCTTCATTTATGTTTTTGTTACGTGGATATCACCTAAAAATTGCTGTCCTAAAGTTTCGAAATTATTTTGATAGTCGTTTTTAAGGGTTTGTTTAGGTTCAATTTTATTTCTGCTTTTGTTATTTTTTTTACATTTGTTTTTAAAAACAAATTTGTTTAACTTGTTTTTTACATGTTTTTATTTTTTATTTCTAAAAATAAATTAACATGTTTTTGAAAACACTCAAAACAACTTTAAGGTATTTTGAGTGTTTTTAAAATCAACCATATTTTAATCAAATAACAAAGTATATTTTATTTTAAATCAAAATATAGACCAAACAAAATAAAAACAACAAAAAAATAAAAGTGTTCCCAAAAGGTCCTATGTTCTTTTGTTAGCTTTTATTAATAACTTACTCCACCCATGTATTTAGTTTATAACTTCAAATGCCATGCAAAAAAAAATATTTGGTGCACATAAAGTGTTTAAGGCTCATGAATCACACTATTGTTTTATACATATTAAAGTTTATATTCAGCTGTTATTGTATTTCTATATGTTTTTATGACAATCTACAAACTCGTGTTGTGTTTATGTCCACCTTTAATATGTTCGCATGTAATTGTTAATTTAAATTTATTTATTCATCCGGGTTTCTTTTCTTATGGAAACTGATTGCACCATATTTTCTTTCTTTTGAAGATACGGGGAGATTTTGTTCTCGTAAGTGGCGATACAGTTAGCAACATGAGCTTAGCTAAAGCACTCAGTGAACACAAAGACAGGAGGAAGAAGGACCCTCTTGCTATAATGACCATGGTCATCAAACATTCGAAGCCCTCAAAGTTGACACATCAAACCCGTCTTGGGAATGATGAAATTATTATGGCTGTTGACCCTGATACTAAAGAACTTCTTTATTATGAGGATAAGGCGGACCTCTCACAGCATCATATCACCCTGGATAAGATGTTGCTTTCTGAGAATTCTGCTCTTTCTTTACACAATGATAAGCAGGTTGGCTTTCTATTTTCCGAAATTTTAGATTTTATCGTTTTTGTTCTTGCACTTTAGACTCACCACGAATCCGTGAAGACTTACTATTTAATTTTTGTTTCCAATAAATGAGGTTAGTTTACTTTGGTTTTTAGTGAAGCAATGGCATGGAGGTTGTTAACTCCCAGTGTGAAGTGTGAAACTTCTCTAAAGTACTTTGATCGAAATGATCTTAACTTGTGACATTTTTTCCCTTCTTTGTTTTTTTAGCACCCTTTTAATATTTTGATAGATAATTTCTGCTTTTTAATTTTTAAACATTTAATGCTATTTATTTGAGGCCGTTTTCATTTATGCTTGGTGGTTTTTTCTTTTTCTTTTTTTTTTCTTAATTATCTTAACCTATTAAACTTTTTGATTAGTACTTGGTTTGTTGAAAAGGTTACTCTT